TCTGCCCTTTTTGAGGGGGAGGATTGTATCAGAACTCCCTACCAAAATTATATTTACTTTCTTTTTAAATTCATGGGAATACATGCACATGCATTAAAACTCTGCAGAAAGTCAGACAGAGAGATCAAGCTTCAATAAAAATTTGGATTTCATTCATGTTTCTTCAGTTCAACATGTGCACAGACACACCCACATAAAAGAAAATTGTAAGCAACTCTACTTTAGTAATGCCAGAAAGTAACACCATTTTATTTAATCCTGGTGAGGACTTTCAATGGAGTGGTTCCCAGTAATGCTGCTCTGGTGATACAGCACTGCAAGTCCTAGTTTTATATACAGTACCTAAACCTTCCCACTAACTAGGAGTCCTGCAAGAGCTAGAGCCAAAGACATGAAAAAGGTGCCTTATATATGACATGACTTCCAGCAACAAACTCATATTTATCTGTCAAATCTGCCTGACCCAGGTCTAGCTCCATCAAGAGAAGACGATGTAATGTCAAGCTATAAGGGCAGATCAGGTGTTGCCCACTTGCCACCTACAAGAGCCCCCTTCCATTCCTCCTAAGATTAGCCCCTTAACTCTAGTTCACCACCATTTCAACAGTCCAAGTCACTACATGATCCAAATTCATGGGATCTAGCAGCCTGATTAATGTGACCTTTCACAAAAACATTGTGCCAACACTTCTCTGAGGAGTTTTTCATTCTTGTTGGTGGCAAAGACAAAATAGAAAGGGAAATATATTACAGAGTCTTTTTTTTAAAAAAATAAGGGTGTTGATGAATCCATCTTTGATTTAATCTTACCCCCAGTCTTTAATGAGTTTAATGAGACTTGTTCCAAAGCTAGATGCTGTCAACATATGCCTTTACATAGACTACAATAATCCCTCTTTCTCATATTTTTCATGAATTTCCTGAAGAGCCTCTATTCATCCAGTGCAGCACTCCAGTCAGAAGAGCTGTGTTAACACACCTGCACAATCCCAGTGAATCATATCTCTGCAACGAATTGCCCTGCTTTCCCCATACTATATGCTTTTGCAGGTGTTAAAGACAAACCCCATGTCCTGCTGCATTTACTGATGGGCAATAACCTCCCTTGTCAGGCTTGTCACTTAGACATATCTGCTCTGCCCCTTATGAGCTTTCATGTTCAGGTTTCATACCCAGTCTAATAGTCTCCTCAGCAGATCAATAAGCGTAGTTTGTAAAGATACTCTTGTTCCACTTTGTTAGATTAACTTCATCCCTGCTGAGTAGCCCTCATTTCTCTGGTCCTAGAAGCCAAAGCCCCATCTTCAACAGAAGTCATACAGTCCACTTCTGCCCAATCTTTCCTCCTCCTGGGACTGGCAAGACAAGATCTGAGGCTTCATACCCATCACCCTCACCCCTAGACTTCTGTAGTTCCTCTTTATATGCTCCAGGTTACCTCCAGAGCAGTACTCTGGGTACCCACAAGGAGGAGGAAGAAGAGGTCCATGTTAGGAGGCTAGAAAAATCTTGGCCGTGCATCTGCAATAATCCCATATCCTGGCACCTACCAAGCAATAAAACTCCTGAGATATCAGATGAGATCAGAAAATACATGCCTTGATCATCCACAAGAAGAATCTTCAGTGAATTTTCTGTGACTGGTACCCATTACTCCTGACTCATGGTACAGCACTGTTGCCAGATAGTGTCACCCATTACAGAACAGGGAAGTGTAACAGCACATGAGATATTTGGGATGGAAAAAACTGTGACTGTTCACTCCTTGCCAGATTTTCACTAATACACAGCTCATGCTATGGCCTGATATAACTACAAATCCATGGCCAGTTCTCATTCAACCGAGGATCCTTAAAAGAACCTGTCTGTCCCCACAGAGTGAGATAATTCTTGTCAACACTATCACCCATTTTCCCCCTTTTGTGTGAACACTAATTTCAGGCTCAGCTGTCTCTCATGGGCCTTGTTGATCCTCACCAGTGCTCAGGATACTGTATGTATTCTGAAACTAAAGAAGTGCAGGTGGAGCATATCTGTGACTTTTTGGTGCCAGAAGCCACAAGCTTTCAGTCTTTTCTATCTCAGTAGTCTTTGTCCATGTGGTTTCCAGCTGTCAATCCTTTCTCACCTTGTGTAGCTTGGGTTTTCCACAAATATCACATCAATCTCCTCTTCATCCAATCTCCTCTGACCAGCTGAAATCTCAGGACCCTGACCACAGCACAAGTCCCACAGGAGTGCCCACTGCCACCCTGATATTGAGAAGACACAGGAGCTCTCTGAAGCATGCAACGTGGATACTCTATTACGACTTCTTCCTAACAGAGCCAAGGACTCTGATGTGCTAATGGCAGTTCTGCAGACTTCTTCCACATCTAAATGGATGTCCATGTGCTGGACAGTATGTCCTGCAGCTTTTCCAGACTACCACTCTGTAGCATTCAAGCAGAGACTCATAGTCTTAAGTGGAATTCCTAGGCCTCTTTGCACTTCTGCTGCAACGACTGTTTTGTCTCGTTTACCACACTCTGTGGGCTGCGCTCTGGCTTCCTTCCTCTTGCCCTAACAGGTACATTTTGGTGAGAATATGATCTTTCCCACATCAACATCTCCCTGAACACCCATCACCCAGCTTTTAAAGTGCTGTTGCTGCTGTACTGCCCTGCCACCCATACTCCTCTCACTGTGAATCTGACTAGACTGAGCGCTGAACAACCTGATCTGGCTTTAAATTAGCCCTCTGGTGAGCAGAAGGTGTGAATGAGATCATCCCAGGTTCCTTACACTTGAAATGGCTCTGCATTTCTCTGTCAAGGACCCTGATGAATATACACTGAAGTTCAACTGGCTTTATTTTAACAGCAAACAATGACCAAAGCATGGATCTGTTCCCCAAGAGGTGTTGAAATGCATTCAGAATTATTATGGTACTCTCTTGGAACAGGGAAAGAAAGAACCTCAGTTTTGCTCTTTGTAACCTTTGTGTAGGAATGAGGACTGTTAAAAGGCCCTAGACTTCATTTACATGTCTGTTTGCAAGCTGTCCAAGTGACCTGCACTGCATGTTCTACTGACAGATCACAACCAAGCAAGCTAATAAAGCTACTGGCTTCATTAACCCTTATTCCTTTCTTCCTATAGGACAAAGTCAATCATACATGTTCTGTTCCAAGATTAGAAAGCAGCCTAAAATTCACTTGGTTTCAATATCTGGCTACTGAGCCTTCTCAACCACAAGCAGGGAGTTTTGCAATTCTGCAACACTATGAAAGAGAAGAAAAAAATAAACAGAAAAAGATAAAAAATCTTCCATCACTTCTATCACAACATGCTCTAAAATCATCATTGTCTGATGTGAAGGCAAACTTTCCAACTGTCCTGCTGAAGAAGCGCTTTTCCCCAGGCTGCCATTTACTCCAGACATACTGCCCCTGCCACCTACTTCCCAAAATACCCAGTTCAGAACACAAGAAGCTAAGATACAAAATTCCCCACAGGCTGCTGAAGTATTCTTATCTACAAGCTTCACTTAACCATGCTTTCAGCTTCTTCCCTAATATGTTTAGAGTAATGTGTCAGTAGTCACAAAGTTTTCTGTCTGAAACCAGAACTAAATCTACATGACCTATAGCAGAGTTTTACAGAGCAGGGAACACACTACATGGCATGACTGACTTACCCTAGAATTTTTAAGAAAAGCTTAATGTAGCTTTATCTAACTATTCAAAAAGCAGCACAACTTAAAATTTCCACAATATTGACTTCCCAAACTAAACAAAGAATTAAAAGTTTGTATAGAGATTTCATATCTGCACTCCTGGGTTGCAGGAGGAGAGTGGCCATATATTCATTTATTTATTTGTCTTTAATTGCCAAGTTTGCGGGTCTTTATTTTTCTCTCCAGGAAGTCTCATCCATGTCCCCCACAGAGACCATTTCCTTAGTAGCAGACACTGATAATTTCAGTGTCTGCCTGCTGAAATACCAAAAAATGGAATCAGGAGTGAGGCCTAGAAGAATGTATAAAATTCTAAATAAGAATCCCTGAACAGATGAAGAAGTTACTCAAATTTACTCAAGTAAGTGAAGAACAAAAAGGAAGGTTCAATAAATGAGAGTAGAAGAGTAATAAAATATTGCAAAAAGCTGACTTATTTTACAACTCAAAAAGATCTTTCCACTTGATATTTACACTGACCATTTGCAGAGAACCAGTTTCTGAAACAGTTATATTTTCATTCACAGGTTTACAGGCAAAATTCAGGAGAATCACAAATTTTAAGCAGATGAACTAAACCAACGGAACTATTCAAGCTGATGGTAAACACTCCAGTATCTCCTAAAATACTGGATAAAAACTTGCCTATCCTGGACATCTAGAAGGACAACCAAGATTATGTACCTTATAATATATACATATATTATATGCTTTATAGCTTCCTTTTCACATACAAAGCTTAATACCAGTATTTTAAAATTAAAAACAAAGAACATTATAGCTCTGACAGGCTTGGAACTAACACGAAACAAAGACTGGACCACATGATAATGATTCCCAGATTTCCAGTGTTCTGGGATTCAAATGGTGCAATTAAATGTATTTCAATATGCCTTTGCTTTTTGGTATTTCACAAGACACAACTTTTGATTGAGGCTCTAATGCAATTCTACTGATTTGATTCTATTGATTTGATTTGGATACACCACTCTTCATGAACATTTCCCTGTTGTAAGCATACACAAGAGCTCAGGATATTTCTGAGGTGCTACTAGGTGGTAGTACAATTCCTAGAAGCAGCAATGACAGTGCCACACAAGAACAGACAGCAGTGCAATACTCAGTTGTTGCATAATCCTTGCTCCCATTCTGCTTAGCAATTGCTGCCTTCGGGCTCACAGAGAAATTGGAATTGTGGCTTGCAGAGGGAAGTGGTGAACATGACACTGCAGTAGAACAAAGGACAGGTAGAAACAATCTGTCCATTAGATCAGTAACATACCGTTACTCCAGTTAAATCTGGGCCTTTTCCTTCAATTAGTTTATACATTTCTCGAAGTGCTTCCTCATCACTTTTGCCTTTAAATCGCTTCTTGGAGAGTTCTTGAAGAGCTTCCTTAAACTGCTCAAAAGTAATAGTTCTTACAGACTTTCCCCTGTTGAAACACATAGCAATTGAAAGAAATTACAAGAGAGCACAAAAAGCATTTCAAGAATAGCAGAATGGTTTCAGTTTACCACAGTGAACAACAGAAAATTGCAACAGAACAGGAAGGCCCATGCAACCCATTTATAGCATCAAATAAAAGATATCCCAGCAATACCATTTTATTTTTATATGTACATGAGTAGGATAGCACTTTATAGAATTCCCTTGACAAATGCTCAGAAATAAAGAGGAAAAAAAGGGACTGGGTCTACTGTCAAAATGCCTGAAGCTCATCAAATTAAATACAGTCTCATTTGGCTGATCACTCATAAAGCCTGCATGTACAAGACAAGAACTGAAGCATCTTAGGTGAGTATTTTTATTTAATATTTTTTATTCCTCTTTGAATAACTGGTTATCATTTTATTTATAAGTCACTATTCATGTATTCACAAATAAATTAAGTATTCTGCTATTGTGTAAAGCAAACTATTGAAAAACATTTGAAAACTTGAAATTCCTCCTCAATTGAAGACTGACAAATTTTTAATTGACACATTTAAATTCAATACCAGTTTTCCTTCGTAGACCATCATCTTCAAAAAATATTTAGAGGTACAGAAAAAACACAATATAATAGTCTGGTAAACTCATAAACCTCCCAGAAATTTGGAATACTTTCTGTAGTTTTCACTAACAGGAAGACCATATTTTCATATTAGTAAATCACTTACTTATATTTACTTTTAATGGAGAGGATTTTGCTGTACAAGTGTGTGGTGCAAATTCTGATGAATGGGACATTCACACATTACAGACATCAGTTTACACTGTCATTCCTGCAGACCTGTTTTGGTCCATCACACCAAAGGTTGCAGTTGATAGAACTCTTACAAAGCATTTACTACAGTGATGTATTTAACCTAAAGTAGGTTAATGCATGTCTGTTTTCTAGCATTTTAAAATACTCAGTTTAGGCAGGAGATAACATTTTATAGTATGCACTGTTCCACTCAATTCTCTAGTATTAACCTAGTTTTAGTGCTCCTCATTTTAAAGTTCAGGTATGAAACAACAGCATTACTGAGTTTACTCACCATTAAACCAAAACCATCTATTTTTAGTTGATACGAATTACAGCAGACACAAACCACATCTTTTCCTGTACTAGTAAATTACAGATTCTCTGATATTTTCAATTAGAATTTACACCCCCATATTTAGCCACAGATTTTGAACTAAAATTTAACATATCAAATAGAATCATTTTCAAAAAGATGTTTTGATACTTGTGCTGATATAATCTTAAACAGTACCATCTTCAAAAGCAGATAATGTTTACAACATTACAAAAAAGTGAAAGTAAAAAAAAAAAGTAAAAGTCTCAAAGTTAAAGTAATATTGCCGGAAAATAAAGTAATGTTGCCTAAAACATGCTACTACAGAAGTTTTGTTTGCTGCTTGAGCATTTCTTTTTATGCTAATTTAGAGAACATTTCAAGCAAATCAAGGGAAAAAAAATAACCAAGCACCAACACACAACCCAGACCAGTCCTTTCAACAGAGACAGCTGTTTATATAGGAGGAATAAACAATAGATGCTAGGATAGACAAAGTGTGCACTGGCAACAGAAATCTTGGGCTAGAAAAACAGTATATAGAAATCTAATTTTAATTCAAATGCCAAGAAGACTGTTGTGAAGAACAATTCAGCTATATGTCATGGATTTATCTTTGATCTTTTCTTGGACACCTTCAGTGGTCAAATTCCTCTCAGCTGGAGGATGCCTCCACTAATGAAAAGGGGAAGTGAGATTTCTGGTTTAGCAACCAACAGTCAGAAAGTGAAACCTACTTCAATTAACTAAACAAAAATGAAATTTTATCCCAGTCTTTTAAAACAAAGAGAAATTGGTTATTCACAACAAAATTCAACACTAAGGGAACCTGTTACATAATTGCTCATTACATTCTTTATTTGCTCATAGCATTCTTTATTTTCAATGCAGTCCAACAAATGCAGCAAACATTAGCAACCCCACAAAATATGTGGTTTTTGACCAAACCTTGCTGTTTGCAGACTACTTGTCTGCTTTGGGTAAAGCATATGCTGGAGTATCTCACAGAATTATCTGGTAAAAGAACATCATGACAGTAGAAATAAAGAATATAATCCAGGATTTCATTAATCAGAAAGACAGGTGGAATAAATTGCAATTAACTACCTGGAATTTCTCCAGGATTCTCATTAAAAGGATTAACATCCCTCTTCTGATGAAACATGTCCAAGAACTTTTAAGTAGCTCAAGAGGTCAAAGACTTCATTTTGTTTTGCCTCTCATTTAGAAAAAGAAAGCACTGGCAATCACTGAAAGGCTTCAGCATAACAACACCCTAAGGCCCTAAATTCTCTACAGACTCAAGGCCAAGTCTAGCATGCATGCCTTGCCAAAGGCAGTTTTCTGCAGCACATAGGTTTAGCTTGGATCATCAGTCAGGATCATCACAATGGGAAAGAGAATGATCACTTTCAGCAAAACCAGCAGAAATTCATGTTGACTCATTTATTTTTCACGAAATATTCTGAGCTGGAAGGGACCCACAAGGATCATCGAGTTCAACTCTTAAATTATCAAACCCAGACTTTATCGCTATTAGCACTGTGCTCTAAATGAACTGATCTCAAGGTTTTATTAACACATGAAGAATTTTGTTAAGTTGCACTCTTATTAAATAGAAGAACATAACTTTTTTGTGTCTGAATTAAAAGGAAAAATGTATAAATATGGCTCCCAAGAGGAACAAAGAACACTTGGTCTAAGGTATAGCTAGCTCTCACATTTGGTCTTTTGTCTGTCACGTACATGGGGCAAGGAAATAAGTGGATTTTTTCCCCTTCAGCTTAAGGTATAACCACAAATTGGACACATATATGACCAATGTAGTATTGCAGCTGGACCCCAAAAGAGGAACAAATGCGCACTGTAGCTGATATTCTTTATCAGCAAACAACATTAATTGGAATTATGTTAAAAATAGGATTGGAAGTGAAGGAATTTTTGCAACTATACCCCAAGTTTCCTAAATAAACCAGCTTTAATTTTGAAGTTTGTCATCTTTTTCTACGCTCCAAAAATATCCTCTCTCGCTTCCCCATCTATTACAATATTATCAAATTCACTTGTAAAGCATCCTAATTAAGTCCAAAACTCTACAGCTGCAAAATATGTCAAGTCTTGTGGAAAATCCTAGGAACACGACATGTTCTTGCACTTTTGGTATGTAAGGTATGGTACATGTATGCCATGTACCAGCATCTACATTACCAAGCAGCAATCCTACACCTTTCCTGTCTCCAGAGACAGGTCTCAAAGAGCTCTGAGCAGTTTCTGTCATCATGATTACGAACTAGAACAGCATACTCCCCCTCCTCTGTCTGTACAGTCATGGGTTGAATGTATAGGAGACCACTGACTGAGTAGGTAGAAATGACAGAAGAAAAGTCTTTCAACAAACCCTGATTTATACTCTCTCCAACCCAGGTCCACAAAAAAACCCTAAGGATAATGACTTGCTAGTACTATTAGATGGAAAATTGGACATAAGCCAGCAACATACACTCCCAGCCCAGAAAGATACAACCGTATCCTGGGCTGCAGCAAAAGCAGTGTGGGAGCTGGGTGAGGGAGGGGATTCTGCCCCTCTACAATGCTCTGGAGGGAGCCCACGTGGAGCACTGCATCCAGCTCTGGGGTCCCCAGCACAGGAAAAGACATCGACCTGTTGGAGTGAATCCAGAGGAGGGCCACAGAGTTGATCAGAGAGAAGGAACACCTCTGCCATGAAGAAAAGTTGGGAAAGTTAGGGTTGTTCAGTCTGGTGGAGACATGGCTCTAGGAGACCTTACTGCAGCTTCTAGAGGGCTTACAAGGAAGGATGGGGGCAAGCTTTTAGCACAGCTGTTGTGATAGGACAAGGTAACAGTTGAAAACTACAATAGGGCAGATTCAGACTAGGTATAAGGAAGACATTTTTAGGAGGGTGTTGAAACACTGCAAGAGGTTGTCCAGAGAAATGGTAGATGGTCCATCCCTGGTCAGGTTGGATGGGGCTATGAGCAACCTCATCTCATGCAAAGTGTCCCTGCTCACTGAGGGAAGGGTGAGGTGGTGGTGTTTACCTAGATGACATGTAAAAAGCTTCCTCCAACTCAAACTGTATTAAAAATTATAATACTCTGAACACAACATAACAAACAAGGCTGTTATACCCCCAGTTTATTTTCACCATTTTTAATGCACTGTTCACATTCAGGAAATCCCTTGCTTGTACTAGCTCTTCAGACCTCATGAACTTAAGAAAGAAACCCCAACCCATAACCCCCCCAAATAAACTAATTCCTTTCTATTAAGCAACTGCTACAAAGAATCAGGTTCTTTGTGTATATTTGTAACTTGTTTTTAGAAGCTCATTATAAATATCTCGTTTCCATGGGAATAGCAAAACAAATATATTCACTTCCATTCTCCAAGTGTTACAAGTTCAAACAACTTGTCTGCAATTAAGTATGCCAAGGGTGATCACTCAGTTCTTAACACTCATCTCTTAGGCTTAGTATTCCAGAGAGTTAGTATAGAAAGAAGATAAAAACTGTATGTTAAAAAAAAATTAAAAATTAAGGCATCAGAATGAAAATTATAACTGACCAGAAAATGAGACAAAATGGAAAACAGCAGCAAACAAGGAAAAGTAGGAGAGAAAAAAGGTTTTTACAAAACAAGTGCCATAAGGTTGGCCACTTTAATAAAAAGAACTAAATATATGAGAGACATTAATAATAAAAATTTTTAAAGCCCTATATTTCATTATGACACAAAGAAACTTTTATGTTTAGAAAGGATACATTCTTACATACCATTCTATTTTAAGCTCTGCTTCTTACAATAAACAGAATTACTCTAATGCATCATCCTTCAGTGGCAGAAACCACGTACATGGTACAATAAT